CATGAACTGTGTGCGGCGAAAGTGGCGTAGAGGATCACGAAGGTTTAGGTAGCGATCCACGCTGATGGTCAGAAGCGTCAAAATCGAGGTGGGTACAGTGATGAGGTAGGCGGTAAGAAACGCAAGGCACATAACAGCACCATGTTTCCAACCTCCTTGAAGAATTAAAGACTCTATGTCGAACGGCATTGCTATAACTGAGGTTAGAAAATCAGAGACAGCCAGGGACAGTAGAAAAAGGTTCGTTGGCTTGCTCCTTAGTTTTTTGTTGGCGAGTATAGCGAAACAGACCAGAAGGTTTCCAATAACTGCCACCGCTGCGATTAATATGTAACCTGTAGCAACAGGGTAGAGAAACCAAGGCCCGAGGAGAGGAGATACTTCGTTTGATTGGTCAACGGAACTGTTGTTCATGATTTTTGAACTCTTTTTTCTTCCTTTAAAACTCTTTTGTTGTAGCTGGAGCACGTGCGATAAAGGTCGAGCTGAACAGTTTCTAAGCAATCTCAAAGTGCAACTTTAAGTCGATTAAGGCTTGGGTGCTTTTATATGTTATATATGCGGAAACTTTCATGTGTTGTTCAAGCATGAAACACCAGCGCCATGTCAATATCGGAGACAAATGAAACCGTGAATGAAACAGAGGACCATGAGTGTGGAACAGCTGTTAACAAGTTCATTAAATGGTGTGTAATTAAAACGTTTCAGTTTCACTCTAACGGTATATAATTCAACATAGCAATGAATCCTTCCGTGTATTGCATGCGTGCAAAGGAAGTCTGTCTGTACCAATACTGGGAACAAATTATTTTTATCGTTGGCGCAAATGGGGTTCATTAACTCACCCACTCAAGCGTAAGAAAGTATTGACTAAGCAGCTGGAGTACCGTGGGTTCATCTTTCAAGGCAAAAAGTATCATGAACAACATCAACAAAATCTTTATTCATACTGTAATACAAAAAAAATAGAGAAAAATGTACAGAAATAATTCATGGGGTAAAAGACTAGTGATGACAAAAACGTAGGAGAAATTGTGATCAACTTCTGCAGGTACAACTATCATATATGAAAGAAAATCTGAAGAAAATCTTAGTTTCAAATGTGCAAAAAAAAAAAGAAAATGATTCAGGTAATAATTAAAGAAAAGAAGCTAGGTTTGTTTGGAAATTAACAAAAAATAAAGCTGAGAGGAAAAGATTAACAAACTATGAACGATATTGAATGAGATCATTTTTATATTGTAAGTTTTGAAACTGTTAGTAGAGAGCGGTTTCAAATTTGTTGGTGACATTTCCCATAGCTTGGAGGTTACATGCAAAGTTTAATTCACCAGTGCTGGTCCTTACTTTTGGAACAATGAAAATAACCCCTTAGAGGCATATCTGGTGTTGTTATTAACTGAATCATTGGATAACGCAGTTCTAGAGTTTTGATTGGCTTAGTGATGATTAATTATTATTCATAGAAATATTTCGCCGTATTATATTTGAAAGATGTAAACAATATTCCGAATGAATTACGATTAAAGTAATGAACAATTGTTGAATGAGGGTTAGTATGATGTAAAGAATTAGGCTGAGATCGAGGAGAAAGTTGGCCGAGGCTGATAACTGCCTCCGAGATCAGCATAATTCCTAACATCATAAGAAAGGCAAATTCCCCTAGTTCAATTGTCCAATTGTTCTTAACAGGCTTACCTCCTTGGAAAATTAACAATCGCAGTTTTCAAATTTAAGAAAATCAAATGAGGAGTTTCAGTGTGTGACTCTTTACTGTCAGGGAAGAACATTCAAGCCAGATCATCAAAGTGTCTAAATTTAATTTTTGCAAGATTCTAATATTTTAGCTAATTTTCTTTTAACACCGGTAATTTGTTCTTTCCAATTTAAAGGTTGCTGTAGATAAATTCCAAGGTACTTGTATTGCAGTTTTGCTGTAAAAGATGTCATCGTCAGGAAAGAGGCGAAGAAATAATTTCACAGACGAATGAGCAACGTTATAAAATTATAACATAGCTAGAATATTCGCCTAATCAAATTCAATAGCGCGAGCGTGCTTCATATTCCTATTGAAGCTTATTGAGCACGCTGATGACGTTAATAAACTATACCTCGAGTTCTTGTGAGCTTAACAATCCTCCCAAGACGTCTCCCAAGTGTATCTATAACTCAAAAGTACACGATGAAGCATTAACCATGTGTTTTATGACATACATTTAAGAGAAAACTTTTGAATTTGTTAACCGATAGAAGGGAAAAGAGGTGAGTGTTGTTGTTGTTGCCTCTGCGCGAGTTGTGCCGGCTATGGCGTGTGCAAATTATTCTTGCAAAGATATTTCCTTCACAAAGAATTTTTTGGTAAATTAATAGTTTTCCGGCACCTCAATATGGATTTTACAATCTTTTTGAATGTTATATCACTCAGTTTCAAGGAAAAAACACAACTGTGAGGTAAAAAAAATGTAGCCAAGTAACATTGACGCGTACTGCTTTGAGTGCGCTCTACAATGATAAAAATGTAAGTTAGCTGCTGCATTGATCGCTTTGTTAGTGTTATAAAACAATTAGTTCAAGCTTCAGCTGTGCGTACGTCGAAATATTGAGTACTTGGGAAGTTTGGAGAGCATTCAAGAGGCTCTAGTTGGTCTCGGCTGCGCCTCGAGCAAGTCTTACGCCTCTTTCGTGTTCTCCAAACTTTCCGCGCGTACTCAGTACCTCGACATACGCACGCTGACGCATGAACTAATTGTTAAATAAGGGGGTCTAAGGTAAACCCTTGTGGTACACCACAGTACCTACGTTACGTCTAGTCTAAACAACTTTATTTTTTAATTTTCAATTTGGATAGAATGCTTGCGATTTAGGAGATAAATGTAAAATATTCATGTGGCCTACCACGAATGTCTGTCTGTCATGCTTTTAACAGGCCAGGTGTTTGAAAAATACAACGGTTTTTATGTAACTTTATCGCTAGACCATCACGGTCACTTTATTTATTATACCAAATCTATATAAAATAGTCACTGATCCAGAAAAGACTAAACTTGTGATTCTTTAATATTTCAGTACAGGTATAGTGTCAAAGCACTTGAACCCAAATTATACTTTTTCCCATCAAGAAATTCGCGTCGGAAAGCAACAAAAAAAAGGACTCATAAACTCGATCAAAGAAAATAATATTCTACTAGATAGTTTACCAGAGTATAAAGAAAAATTCAAGTTTTACAGGACTAAACTCCTTGGTTTAACTCGTAATTAGTCAAAAAAATCTGCTATCAAATATACTTTGAAAACAAATTTAATAATCTAAGAAATACATGGTAAAATATTTGAAATGATTTGATAAACAAGGACTGTAAAAAAACACAATGACAGAACCAACTGGCCACGGCTCAACTCATAACCCAGCAAAAATTAAAACTATACCTAGCTCGCACGTCATTCTTCAGCGCGCTACGTTGGGCGATCTAAGCCACTGTGGTGTCAAGCAGTATGTAACTCGAATACTGGGTCAGCTCTCGAAACACCTACTATTTCAGTTTCGATAACTGAATTTCTTTTAAGTATTTCCCTATTTTTATAACTATTTTTTTATTATTTTTTTAAATTATTACTAATACATACCAATACTGAGTATAACTATTTTCTAGGCGCAATGTCATGTTATTCCTTGTGCATTGCGAGAAAAACGCCTAATTTCAAGGAAACTACTGGCCTGTAAGGCAACAAATGTCTCCTCACACACTCATATTCTAATCACTTGTATTCTGAAGTATGATTTCAGTGATTTGCAATTCAGTTTCAGAGGGTCGTATCCGTTGGAGTTGAACATCCCTATCAGATAAATCTGGAATTTCAGACGCAAAGGTGAGCTCTGACAAAGAAGACAACCTGCGGTCACGCTTGGCGTTTAAGGGTGACTTTGATAAAGCTGAGCTTAACAGTTTTGAATAGGTGTTTTTAAAGCTTCCGTTTCGGAGTGCAAAAACAAAGGGATTGAGGGCCGAAGTAAGATAGCCACACATCAGAAGAAAGCTGAAAACTTCATCTTCTCTTCCGGGAAACAATGACCAGCATGAGCGACACAGGCTGATGACAATGATATACGTTGAATAGGGAAGCCAACAAAAAAAGAAAACGCCAATAAACATGGCGATAGTCTTAGCTGCTTTCATATTTCCTAAATAAGTTTTATTCTCTTGTACGAAGGGAAGTCTACGGCCAACTAACTCGGGTCTTGTTCGCTGACGTGCAATTAGATAAATCTTGATATAAATACCAGTGGTGATGATTATTGGTAGAAATATGTTAAGGAACGCTGTGAGTACAGAGTAAGCTCTCTTGAGAGGAAACCAGCAAACCCCTTTAAAAATAAGTGATTCGCCAGGAGCATTTCTCCAGCCCATCGAAGGAATTGCAGCAGAGACAACGCTATAAAGCCAAATAAAGATTATGGCAATGAGTGATCGTTTACGTGTCATGAAAGGAGAACGACGAAAGTGGTTCAAAGGATCGCTGAGGTTCTTGAGACGCTCAATGCTTATGATGAGGAGGGTCCAAATAGAAGTCGGCACTGAAGTGAGGAATATTATGGTAAAGATCTCGCACATAAGTTCCCCATGAACCCAGACACCGCGTACAAAAAACATTTCTAAGTCCAGTGGAGCTACAACCGTTACTGTGATTAAATCTGAGAACGCCAAAGAGAGTAGAAGAAGTGCCGTGGGATTGTTTCGTAGATTTTTGTCCGCCATTATCGCGCAACAAACCAATAAATTGCCAACAATCGCTACTGCAATAATTATTATGTAACATGACAACACGGGAATCGCGAAAGCTGACGAGAAAGAATAATATGAAGCAGTTTCGTTGCTTAAGCTTTCTTCAGATGTGTTTCTCATTATCTGACTTAAACTCACAGTCAGCTTGTAGTTTCTGTTCTTCAAAAAATGATCGACTGTTTACTTCCTTCAGAGCTGTTGTCGTAACACAGTGATTTGTTCATTTTCCAATGCAGCACTTTTTATGAGTAAAAAACGTCATGGCCAAGCTTCCTATATTGTTTGTCTGTCGCCAGAATCTTCCTTTCACGGGACAAAAGTGGCTAAAGTGATAATAATCATTAACAAAAAGGAAACTGGCTTCAGTTTATAAATAGCTCTACAGCAATATTAATAATCCTGACTGTGTCACATAAAAACACAAGAAAGGCATAGGCTAAGGATAAATGAGCAAAACGAGTCGTTGTCGCTTGAGTCTCGCCACTGATATGTTTATTTGATTACTGTCAGATTTGATTTCTCTCGGAACTTACACGGAGTCTTGTTAAATTAAGGCAACTTTTGAACTAAGAAAACAACCTCTGATTTAGAGATATTTTGTTTGTCTGTTGCCAGAAAGCATATTTAAAGGACAAATATATTGGCTAATACAAAAATCAGGATTATATATTATCATAAACAAGACTGGAAAACACTTTGGTGAAACCGGAGTACGCGAAAATAGTGAAGCTTGTATTTTTTCTAATGTTTCCTTTCTCATTTAACTTGGGTTTTCGCATTGTTCTTTTACACTGTTAGACTTCTTATGGGCAACGCGTAAATAGCTCTAATGGAGGTGCGAAGATATCGATAAAATCCTCCTTCATGTTTTTTTTCTCAGTACGCACAGCAGTAGTAGAGTGTCAGGACTGTCGCTTGTTGGTCTCCGGAGAAATCAAACATTCATCAGAATCGATAATTCCCTATATTGAATAATGGTGACGTCATGTAAAAACGAGAATAATCAATATATTGAGAGCTATTATACACCGAAGTCAATTTCTCCGTGTTACTAGGTAAAAGTAATACCTGCCCACACGTTCATCCCGTGGAAGTACTATTCCGGCAACAAAAAAACAATCTAGCCAGCTATGACTTTGACGTCTTATACTCAAAGTGCTGCATTTATATGAACAAACCAGTGTGTTGAGACTGGCTCGTCAGCGTTTGCGATTCCTGCTCTGTCATGTTACCTAATCATTGTTACAGCAGCGATTGTTGGCATTTGAGTGGTTTGTTTCCCGATAGTGGTCGACAGAAATCTACGAAACAATCTCTTGCTTCCACTCTCGTTGGTGACCTCAGATTTAGCCATTAAAGTTATTGTCGGGGTTCCACTGGACATAGAAACGTTTTTGTACACGACGTCTGAGTTCATGGGAAGCTTACATGCAAGATATGGATCACAATATTCATCACCACGGTGCCCACGTCCTCTTGGACCATCTTTTTGCTATTGTGCGTCTCCAGAACCTTAACGATCCTCTGATCCACCTTCGTCGTTCTCTTTTTATGACACGTAAGCGAGCATTGATTACCATTTTGATCTTTTTTATTTAGCTCTATAGCGTTCTCTTTGCTGCAATTCCCTCGATGGGCTGGAGAGATGCCCCTGGTGCGAAACCTTTATTTTTGAAGGTGTTTGGAGGTTTCCTTACACCAAAGCTTACACTTTACTTACAACTTCCTGAACTTCTTTCTACTGTCTATTATCACCAACGGTATTCATATCAAGATTTACGGCATTGCACCTAAGCGGAAAAGAACAAGTCAGGCCCCATAGCCAAACGATAAAGTATGACTGCAGGTTCAGCAGGTTATACACTTCAGTGTCTAAGCTATCTATTACATCCAAAATTCCAGATTCATCTAATAGACAGATTACCACAAATTTGTTCAGGATGCTATAGTGTTCAACATTGCTACGGGAGAATGTGTACGAAGAAATTCTTTGCCTTCAGTACACACGTCGTTTCTTAGAAGTCAGACGTTTTTCTCACTATGCCCAGGGAATAGCCGGAAATTGCGCGTAATTGATTTAGCGACACGCGACAAAATTATATCGGCACGGTCTCCGAAAAACTGTATCGAACACCTTAGTTAAAAGTGTCCTCATGTAGTTGTTCCTATACTTCTATCTTAGTTTGAAACTTAAATAAAGGTATTCATTCATTCATTCATTCATTCATTTATTCATTCACAAAAGGTAAGAAGCGATCTTGTCCAGCTGAGTGTTGTAAGCTGTTATTTAGCGTTTTTGTTGTTAACCGTAATCAAGTTATTCAAATATATGAAGGTATATTATATAAATTGAAAGTTTGCCTTAACAATAGTATTCACTGAGTATTAACGAGTTAAACATTCGAGCCAATATATAACTGACAGTAAATTATATTTAGAGGATAATCTTCCTGGTAATCAAATGACCAATGTCATCACAGATCAAAATACTTAATTACATGGTCATCATTAGCCACATTTTCATTGGCTTCTTTCAACTTCTCTCAGGTTTTCAAGCCAAAAAACTTCTTCTTTTTCTCCTGAAAAATCTCTTCCCGCTCTCTTAATGCTATCGTTAGGTGCGAGACATGCACATAATAGTAATTAGTAAAATCCAGCTAGTGGTCTATTATCAATGCTCTAATGTTTTTTGTACGCAGTGTCCTGGTGCATGGGGAACATCTGTGCAAGATCCTTACCATAATACTCGTCACTTCAGTACCCTCCTCTGTTTGGGCCCTTCTTCCTATTAGTATTGAGTGCCTCAAGAACCTCAGCGATCCTCTGAACCACCTTCGTCGTTCTCCTTTCTTAACAAGTAAGCGAGCACTTATTGCCATAATCTTTATTTGGCTTTATAACGTTCTCAGCTTTGCTGCAGTTCCCTCGATTTTCTTGAGAGATGCCCCTGATGAATCCCTTATATTTAAAGAAGTTTGCTGGTTTCCTCAGTCCCGAGCGTACGCTCTAATTCCAGTGATCCTCAACTTTATTCTTCCGTTAATTATCACCAGCGGTATTTATATCAAGACTTATCTCATTGCACATCAGCGGAAAAGAACTGAGTTAGTCGGCGATTCATAAAAGATAATAAGACTTATTTAGAAAACATGAAAGATGGTAAAAGTATCGTCATTTTTATTGCCGTTTTCTTTTTTTGCTGGCTTCCCTATTCGACCTGTATTATTTTCATCAGTCTGTGTAACTCATGCTGGGCATTGATTCCAGAAGATGAAGCTTTTTACTTTCTACTTATTTGTGGCTATCTTAACTCAGCTCTTAATCCCATTCTTTTTGCAATCTGGAACAGAAGCTTTAAAGCCACTTATTCAAGGCTACTCAGCTCAAAGTCACACCCAAGCAAAAGGTGGGACGGAGAGGTATCAGAGTTCCCTGAAATTCCAGATTCACCTTATAGCCATATTCATCTTCAGCGGATAAGACTCGCGTCGGCTACAGAAACTGAAGAAGCACGCTTAATTTCAGGCATATGGTAGCTGATACACGAGAAAGGAAAATGATCACGGTCTCAAAAATTGAACAGGTAATTTTTTTACTTTATTGTGTTAATGTATCGTTTCTTTCCGGCCACACTACTGTTAGCAGAATGCCACGTTCAGATGACTGGAAACACAATCGACATTGCAAAGTCACGCTCAAACAAAATATTTGTTCGACCCCGTGTCGTGACACAAAACTTGTCTTTCTTCATCTCGTTCAATTCACCATTCCTGTGCGACATGCATTACGTATTCTACCGACTACTATCAATGACTCACCTTAGAAAGTTGGCTTAATAACTTATACCGGCGCCGATCAAACGACTTATTGACCGGTGCACTTAAGCCAAACCAACAACGACCGAATGACTGGAAAACCAACAAATTGACTAAAAATTAACGGCTGTGACAAAAGACGGGTCGAAAAGCACCAATGACATTCCGAGTCTTCATAGCCAATAGCACCAAGAAAATTTAACTGAATTTAATTAGTAGTTTTTGGAATTTTTTATTCAGGAGCCACGTGAATTTAATTTCTACCACATTTCTTCAAATTTTAATGAATGCGTTACGTTGTCTTTAAAATTCAATAAAACAAATGCTCTCACCTTTCACAGCTCTTCCAACATTGTTGGGGCCACGCACGCATATTACGCATGGTTTACAAAGACTTATGGGTTGTATCCTTCCCACGATGCACTGTAGGTCCCAACATTGTTGGGATTTGTTGCATCCGTTTGCACATCACTGCCAACACGGACGCAACAACTCCCAACATTGTTGGTGCAACAATGTTGGGAGTTGTTGCGCCTGTTAGCCATAGCCTAAGAATGTAAATAAATTTGTTTAAGTATGTATATTTTCCTAACACAAGGTTATCCTAAGTGAAATGTTTTTGTTAGATTTGTACATTTTTATTATTATAGTTTTTAAAATCCATTTTAACTATAACTTGTATATTATACACGTAATTCAGTCTTCGGACTGCGAGGTGTTTCTTTTTTTAATAAACGATTTATCTATCTATCTATCTATCTATCTGTTTGCACGCAGCCTAAGGCGTCGAAGGCGAAGAAAGCATAATAAATTTCCACTGGAAAATTCTTGGCATTTCTAAGCTTGTCCTCGCACTTTTTTTTTTTCTTAGAAAGGTATTGGCTGCACGTGCGCGGTAAAAGCAGTTGTAGAAAAACTGTGGTCAGCCACCTGAAGACTCCCGTTAATTTGCAAATTCGCTTTTTACTAACTTAAGCTATTAAACCGTTTTAGATGACTTCTTTATTTTATTTCATTTTCAGTACCAGGCAGTTTGTATAAGTTCTAAGTTCACACATTCAATGCACTCATAGATTTTAAAGAAAAAAACTTTCAAGGAAAAAAGTAATTTTGAATAAATCCTATTCTCCATTTAATGTTTTTTTTTGTTTATGTGTTATAGTTTCTGTATTTTTATTTAACATATAAATTATAGTAGTGTGATTAAAGCTTAAGCAGGGGTGAAATAGTTTTTACTATTTACAAAATTCCGGGTAATTAATATATTAAAAGACCTCCGTTGAGCTCTATATACAGTCTCCGAAA